AAAAACTGCCTAGAAACATCTGTGAGGGGCTTAGAGTAGGACTCCAGAAACCTGGAACACCTGCTCACACAAGGCAGGAGACATTTCTAAGTATGGTTTCTGTGGTTGGACCGTTTTATGTAACAGATTAATTCAAAGAGCAAAGGTCTGTGCAACTTGGAGGCCCAGTCATTAATGTCATAAATCATGGGTGTCAAACCCCACAAGGTGCAAGTTCTACATGACAGCATTAAACACATTATGGTCACAACGTCAAATGTTCAACCTAAGAAAAGGCAGGGTTAAGGCTGTCTGTGAAACCTTTCTTTGGCCCCATTTGTGCAATACGCCTTCTGTGCTTCAAGAAAGATGCAGACCATCTCAAAACAGTGAAAAGAATCAGAGCTCAAGAAAACATCATCTACAAAAAAGTATGAACAAATTTGGGATTTCTGTTATGAGGTAAAACATGCTGGGGAAATAAACAGAGTCTTTTGCACAAATCTATCTTCCATTATCCTTGGCAGATGGTACAAGCAGTAATGGGATAAACCCAGAATGAGGAGAGTGTGGGTTGGATGTGAGGAAAATGTTTCCAACAGTAAAAACAAAGAAGAGACTGGAAGGGACTGTTTAGGGGAGATGTGGAATTTTTATTATTTTAAGATTTAAGAGCAGTTTATGTAAACTTCTGTCAGGAATGACAGCTGTAGATATCTGCCTTGGAAAAAAGGAGGTGAACTAGATGACTTCCAAAGGTCCTTTCCTGCCCTACGAATTTGAGGTGGAGTTGCTTTAACAACAATCGATCATAAAATTCTTCTTGAGACCATTTCACTAGTCAGTGCATGAACAGACAAGATGAACAAGCAGTAATTAACTTTTTTCTTATTCTTCAGTGTGTGGTCTTAGTCTTTACCTACTGACAACATTAAAAGTTATGCCCTGCAAGTCAAATCAGTAATTTCACTACGGGCTAGATTGGCCATTGATATAATCCTGAAATACTACTTCTCTATTATTAAATAATTTATTTTTGTAACATGAGGGAATGCCATCTCCACTTTGCAGATGTAGCAGTCAGTCATTGACTTTGGAGGAAGGTATTATAAATGTTTACATGGATCTAGATCTGAAAGTGTAAAGGCAAAACTCTGCAATGATTTCAAGTGCCCTGTTTCATGCATAAGGTCCATCTGCTACAGAAAGAATTCTTGTAGAGAAACATTCATGTAGAACTACAAACTGTACTGTAATACATGTACATGAAAAGAAATAAGCAATTTCAGAATTAATCTTAATATTGGTATCTCCTAAAATATATGCTTGACTTTGCAACTTTAACATTTTTTAAACATATTTTTAATATTAAATATTTTATCTAACTTCCTCCTGCCTAAAAAACATCTAGCTTCTCCTTCCATCACTGCAGTGTTATTCTGTCCAGATTATCTAATCTCTCTGCCACTCCACAATTTCTTTTTCCACTCAGTGTTGCAAGATTTGTAATGCACTTTCTTTGAAGATTAAAAAAAAAAAAAAAGATAAGGAACAAAAATAAAGCATTTCACTGCTACTATTTCAACATTTTCTTTGTTCACACGGGTTCAGATGTTCACATCAACAGATGTTCACCAACCACTTCATTTCAATGGAATAAAGCACCCCAGCCCTCCATCCCCAGACTCCAAATTTGATGTTAGCAGCAGCAACAAAATAAGGGGGAATAGTGCAATTGGTCTGGAATGAAAATTACATGCTTCGTCCAATTACAAGCGAGGCAGGAAAGCAGGAAGGTGTGTTGCCAGGGGTTTTTTTGAAGTGTTAGCAAGAGTCTCACATGAGCAGATATTTAGCAACCCGAAGTATCAAAATCAAAAAAGCTCTGTGAAAATCTTAGCTTCTACTTATTTATTTTATGAATGTTCTGTCCTCATGATTATGGTGAAAGGACTGAAAATCTGCAGTTAATGCAATTCACAGTCTCTGAAAGTAGATGGAAAGTAAAATTAATCAAAAGGTGTTTTGTTCTTCTACGAAATTGTGTTTCTAATCCATTCTTGGTAGCTTTTAATGCTTGGAGTTGACCATGTGGGAGACAGAGGAGGAAGGTAGAAGTGGGCTCTGCTGTAAGTCGCAGCCGGTTTCTGGCTGCTTGCCTGCCTCATGGGCTGCACTTCCCCTGCTCTCTGCAGGCAGCACAAACCAAGGGAGCAGATTCCTTTCGAAGGAGCTGGATTCCACTCAGCCATAAGTCCTGGGCTGACAGAAGCTTCTCACAAGGCTTATAAAAAGAAAAAAGGAACAACCAAAGGAAAAGGCTCCAAAACCCATGATGCTCATGATATATAAGAGCTGGCAGCATTACTTTTACCACTGCCAGGCTTGATAATTTATCTTTGCTTGATGTTATTGCCCCTCCCCACATGTGGTCAATAATTCACTCATTCCTTCCGAGCATACACACACTCTCTCCCTCGCTCACCCCTTTCGGCCTCCCTACCTAAGTATGGTCCAGATACTATTTATTTTAATGGATTTTAGTATATTGCTTTCTGAGCACTAATCCCAAATCTGTTATTAAACTCCCTGCCCCAAACTTATTTGCAGTCAGCAGTTCTCTTGGACTACCATATCCCACCTCAGAAATGTTCCAGCATTGACCATCTTCTCTCTCGCCTTTCTCGTGAACATTCTTATTTAGCCTCAGTTTCAGGAGGGATCCAGAGAAAAATATCACACAAGCTAAGGTCTGGCTAATCCCTCAGCTACTGAAATCCCCCTCCTAGTTCTGATATATCCTATTATGTTAAAATCACTATTTTTCAGTAGCAGTTTATTTAATTATTTAATGTAAAAGACTTCATTTTATGCCTTGTGTCCTGTGCTTCTCTGACTCCTTTATCTTCACTACTGAAGACAGAAACCCTGAATTGTCTTATACTCAACTCTGAAAAAAGTGATGCAAAAGTAGCTCCACCTACACCTGCATCTACTTCTGGTAAAGGCTTTGGTTCTTCGTGGTGTTCTAGGCAATTTCTGCACTGTCTGTTATAATATACTCCCATAATTCTCCTATGTCTCACATACCTGGAGTTATTTCTAAATATATAAATATTTACATTGGATTAAGTTGCTAATATTATAAAATAGAAACAGAAAAGCTTAGAAAACAGACGAACAAACAAAAAAGAAAATATGAAGCTGATGAGCATGAATTATTTGGAAATCAGATTCAAAACAGCTTCCTCAAGTTACAGGTTTAAAGTCTCTATGGAGTCACACCTTATCCTAAATTGTGATATATTTCCTCCGACCGTCACACAATCAAACATCATCAGTGTATTATTTCACATGTTGTATTTTTCTCCTAAGAGAACAGTCAAGCCACCCAGAATCCAGTCCTCCTACCCCTGCACAGCACAGCAGCAGTGTCAGCACACCACAGACAATGATACAGATGATTGATCAAGAAGTCACAGATCACAAGAGGCTTTCTTCTGCTAAATTTCAAGACACAGCACCAAAGAAAACAACATCTATTTTTTTTCCCCATTGTTATGAGGACATCAATGACTTCTGCAACTAACACCAATTTTGCATCTAAGTCTGGAACCAAAATTACTCGGGGTCAGAGAAACCTATAACTATCAATTAACTGTTTCACATCACCTTAATACATTTATTTCCAAGATGTCAGAAAGAGAGTCTGATCATTGTTATTTTAATTAAAATTTAATTCTACTTAGCTTTTTTTATGCTTTGATCAGCCAAAATAATGGGCCCATAATAGCCTTTCAATCTTGGCTACCTGAAGTCAATACTTTCAGTTGGAAGGAAGAGGTGGTTGAGGGCAAATAAGGGCTGGTTCAGAACCATACAGAAGTTTTTTCAGAATACTGTTGTCCAGCTTTTAAAAAAACAAGTTTATGGCTAGGGAAGTGCTGTAATCAGCTATTTGTGATAACTGCAAGAAAGCAACCTTGAGAAGAACAGAGGGCAGATGAAACAGCACTAAAACTTTTGCAAATGATCCAAACCAGGGTCAAATGAAGAACCAAAACAGCTGTTCAGTTCAAGTTGCTCTACATATTTACTGCAATTTAATACCAGCTTTGGAAAATTCTATTAAGAACAGAAATTTTTGTGTATTTCATTCAGGTATACACACAAGATCTGTTTAACTGAAATTCTCTGTCAGAAGTTTGTGAGCATGTAAAACATTAAAATTATACATGCAGCAAGTAGATGAAGTAATTTTTTGAACATGGAAAAGATGTTCTGTATTAGATTAGCAGGAAGTAAAATGATGACGACAATTCTCTCCGAGTCTGTCAAAATATAATTACACCTGTAACTGTCTGGCAACTGGTAACGGCAATCTCTGCAGCAGAAGAGACCCACTACTGGGTTAAAAGCTGTTACCAGGACTTCAACAGAGAAGCTCTGCTAGAATTCTGTGACACCACTTCAACAGTCATCACAGACAGTGTGTTCTGGATTCCCTCAAACAATGTAATTAATACTTTCACTGCTTTTTGTGTAATTTAGGTTGATAAAAGGTTTAAAAAAATTATAAACATTATTGTCTGTATTATAAATTTTGAAATAAGGAATAACATGGTAGAAATTACAAGATTTGTTTTACTTTGTTCCTGAAAACGCAGACATACAAGCTGAAATTTCAGAAATAACTTTATATGGATTTGCTAAAACACCATTTTCTCAGTAGGAAAGCTTCAGTAATCACATTTTATCTCATATCACTTACGTCTGTTTTAATTTAGAGAGCTATATGCTGTAATTCAAGGCTTTACCAGTGTAGTCTGAGGACAACACTCAAGGAACGTGCTTTTCACCTTGATCTCCCTATATGCCAGTTAAGCCCAAGCACAGGCTGCTGTTGCCATCACTTCAGAGCACCAGTGGCGTGTCCCAAGCCTGCACCCCGAGCACTCTGCACCCCATTACCCAACTCCTAGCCCTGCCCTGACTCAGGACCTGCCTCCTCTGTCACCAACCTGGTTTTAGCTTCCACACCCACGGAGGCGGTGGAGCTTGCAGACTCCTCGGATACTGAGTGCTGAAGGACTGGTGTTAGCTGCTTGGTGCTGTCCACTTCCGTTTGGGCGTCCTCTTCTGCAGATTGCTCTTTGACTTCTGTTGAAAAGATAAGAATAATATTATTTTATTTATTTATTCAGTCTATAAAAACATCTGTAAGCTTTCCCTTGTGCTGCAAACATCCATTTTATTTATAGATAAACCCATATATCTGTGTTCCCAGCCACAACAAAATGGAAAGAATAGGAAAATATTACCCTTCACTTCTAGCTAAAACATGAAATTGAATGCTTATAAAGTTATTTCCATAACACAGCATACCATTGAACTCAAGATGTTCAGTAAATAATGAGGAATGGGGCAGGGAGAGCATTGTTCAGTGGCAACCTTTTCACACAAGGCTGCAGTTTTAGATATTCTCATTCTCCCCACAACTCCTCTTGTGCCCCTCCTCTGCCATCCCTGAACAAACATCAGGGTGAGCACACTCATCTGGGGTATAACAAACCATTTTTCCTCCCAGATTAGCTTTAACTTTGATCAATTCCCTGCGCAAGTTCATTCCTGACTACACTCACTTTATGCTGACACAGGGTTGAGGAGGCAAAGGAAGGACACCGTTTATGCCACCTTAAACTTCACTCTGAACTGTAGGAATATAAGCAATTTTTGCAGCATCCTTTTAATTTAGATTACTTGTTAGACACAAATATATACATCTATATCTGACAATGCTACTATTTGCCTAGAAAGTTCATTTCCGCTCAGAAACACCAAGTTCCCACTGTCTGTACAACTGAAATCCTCTTCCCATTTGGTTTCCTCCTTTGCACGGAGCAAGCCAGGGATATGCCAGGACATGACAGTGCGCCACTCCAAGTGTGTCAGACTGAACAAGAACAAGGGTCAAAGCTGTAGAGCAATAAAATTTGGTATTTCTGCACTCCTTCATACTTTGATTTTGAAACCTAAATAACATAAAAATCACAGGACACTAGCAGATGTTCTTTGGTATATCCAGCTTAAAAAATTACTGCCTCATCCTGTCAATGTCCACGGCTGCTCTGTCTGTCCCCACAGGCACACCAAGGGCCTGCACCTGGGTCACACACCACCAGTGAACTTCCAGCAAACGTGGGTTTGAGCTAAGAGGCCAATACATACAGCTCCTTCAAAGATGTCCAGTTAAAGTAAAGCAACAGATTATTTAGAAGATTTAAGCTGAAGATACATTCACTTTTTTAAAAAAAATAATAAACAACATTTCAAATATAATCAAATACTGCAACGGATAAATTATTCAAGTGGAGAAATGGATGGGTAAAAGAATCTGCAACATGGGTGGGCGTGCACAAAAACCTGCTACAAGCTTTAATCTTATTTATAAGAACAATAAAAGAGAAGAAATTTCTCAGAACATATGATTGCACATCTTGTTCTGTAATACTGAAATTATATGCCTGTTAGAGCACCTGGAGAAGGGATGTTGTGGCGTAGGCTTGGTTGGCAGCCAACCACAATGCAGCAGCACTCTCTCCCTTCCCCTCCGGCAATGAGAAGGGACAGAGAGCCAGGCTTGGGGTTCGAGATAGGACTGGGATGGGGGAAAATTTCCCCTTTATGATCACGAGCAAAAGGCAGACTCATTAGGGGAAGAAAAAAAAGAATATACATTTATTACAGACACTAACAACACATAACAGAGTAGGACAGTGAGAAGCATTGCCACATCTTGAGAACACCTTCCCCCCACCCCTCTCTTCTTCCCGGGCTCAGTTCTGCTCCCGATATCTCTACCTCCTCCCCCAGTGGCGCAGGGGCAGGGAATGGGGGGTGCAGTCAGCGCTGCCACTTCCTTCATCTTCGGTGAGGGGAGTGTCCGGAACTTGTTCCTCCTGCTCCATCGTGGTCCCCCTCTCACAGCAGACAGTCCTCCACAAACTTTCTCTGACTTGAATTCCTCCCACGGGCCGCAGCGTTCCCCACACTGCTCCGTCATGGGTCACTAACTTCCTCCGACTGGATTCCCTCCCACGGCTGCAGCCCTTCCCAAGCTGCTGCTCCGGCGTGGGACTCCCCCGCATGCTGCAATCCTCCCAGCACTGAATTACAGCAGCGGGGCTGCCTTTTCCCATGAGACCCCGGCCTTCTTCGGGCACAGAACCTTGATTATCCGAGCAGGAGCAACAGGCCATAAATCAATGTCTGCTCCACCGTAGATCTTCATGGGTGGCAGGGGGAGGCAGCCCTGCCATCTCACCACAGGATACAGGGGGATCTCTGCTCCGGCACACCTCCCCCCTCCTTTCTTCCTCCGTTCCTCCATTGACCTTGGTGTTCATGCAGCTGCAGCAACTCCTCCTCACAAGTCCCCCTGCACGTCACCACGTCCCTTCTTAAATACGTTATCACAGAGGCGCAGCCGATTGGCTCAATTTCCCAAACAGAAGTGGAGCTGACGTGGAGCTGGGGGAGCTTTGAGAAGCTTCTCACAGGGGGCCGCCCCGATAGCCCCCTCCCCTGCCACCAAAAAACTCCACCACTCACTCAACCCAGGACAAGGGAATATATTTATTGTTTGATATAGAGGGATTGAAGTAAAATTATTCTTTAAACCTAGAGTGAACTCATTTAGGAAGACAATCTATAACATTCAAAACCCTCAATGAAGGCATCTAAAACATAATGAAAAGAAACACAAAATTATGAAAAAAAGAATAAGAAATTCCCATTCATGCCTGGATGTGCAAGATATTTATTTGAGCTGGTGTAAACTGGAATTGATTCACATATTTAAGTTAAGCTACTCAGTAACACATCTGAAATGGTTTTGGACATCTGAAACATCCAAAAATGACTATCTGTCCAAAAGACAAATGGCTCATGTTAAAGCCATTCCACCACTCTATCCTAGGAAAATAAAATAAAAAAAATGCTGGACAGTCATTTGACACTAAATAAATATCCTGTTGGGAACACATCCCTTGTAACAGTAAATGGCTCCATACAGAAAACAAAACAAACTGAAGTAAAACCCCACACCCTTAGTTTTTGGCACATTTGAACAAACAATCCCTGCAACCATTCCTGGACAAGGATTCCTGAAACAGGCAGCGTCCAGCAGAGCCATTCATAATAGTCTGTAGCGTGTTTCCAAAGTATGTTGGATCTGAAGGATAATTTTGTGCAAGTAATCCCCAAATTTCTAAATACAACCTCAATGCAGGGCACAAAACATAAACATCTATAAGACAGGCAAACACCAAATGGCTAAAATATCCATAACACAGACCAGGACAACCATGCATGAAGTGTTCAGGGAACACCACCAGAAATTGTGGTTGTGTTCTGATCCATCTTGGTGTTATTTAGCCTAGTTAAACTTCACAGAAGGAACTCTGCTTTATTGTGTGCCTGCAGAAACTTTCAAGTAAGCAAAAGCCATTTACTCTTTGCCAGCTTTCATCTCATTATACATTAATGGGCACCCATTACACTGGAAAGGCGAAGTTCATGGGCACTAACTCAATCTCAAGAACTCTGGACTGTGTGAGAAGACACAGATTGTTTCACTACACACTATGACTATATGAGCTTACATCCTTATGGTGCTTTTTCCCCTGCTGTTTGCTTCTCTAGAAAAGAAGGGACCCAAATTATACTAAATGAGACAAACAACATCTCAACTGCTGTCTCTGCAATAAACCAAACTGTGTCTCAATATGCCGTTAGAAGACTGAAAAGATGGTGCTCACCAAACAGAATGAAAATAGCATTTATGATAGTTGTGCGTGCCATACTTCAACTTTGTGCAAGTTTTCCAACAGAAGATTAAGGAAGAACAGAAGAAACACATTTCATGAGTCAAACTCCTAGGAGATGGGGTCTGGCACTGGCATGGCAAATGGACAGCAGATAGCCTCATCGCTGCTTCCGAGATGTTCTTGGAAGCATCTGACACAGTAACTGCTTTTCACTGTATTTAAAGAACGTTCATCAGACTTGGTTATAGCCTCCTACTTTGAAGCTACCGGGAATGAAGGAACCATGAATAATAAATGTGTAGCTCATTTACAGATTCATATATGAGGCTTTAATTTGCATCTTATTTTTATTACTGTTTCTGTCACAATGAAGGTCTTGTCCATGTATAGTGAGTTGGTAGGGGAACAGAGAATTAACATAAAAGCTAATTGCACAATTCCCCAAACTTCTTCAAGTTCTTTTTTAATGTCACTATCCTTTACTAAAACATCAAGAAAATACTAGGAAATATAGATTTTCAAAATTTTTAATATTTGAAGACAATTACATCAATAGTTCTTCCTCACCTGACTGGTGAGGACAGAAACACCTTCTCTTCTTATTAAGGTTAAAAGAAATCCCCAAAAGCACAAGGAGTAAAGTTCCTATCCACATGGGCCATCAAAAGGGTTGAGACTTCCATACGCTTTACAACTCAGCAAATATTCACAGAATCACAGCTCCAACCTCTGGCTTAAGCAAGGCCACCCAGAGCCAGTTGCCCAGGACTATGCCCAGACGGTTTTTGAGCATCTCCAAAAATGGAGATATAAAATAGTAGGGAAAAAACAACAACAACAACAACAACAAAACAAAAAAAAAAAAAAAAAAAAAAAAAACACAAAACTGCCTAATATAGACATATAGACAGGGGACAGATATGCAGGGATCTCATTGGGATTGATAAGATTAGGAACAAAACAAGTTTCCACTAGTCAGAGTTCATAATTCAGTTACTGTTCTGGACACAGTTTCATAGAAGCATCACCTCTCCTGCTAGCATCTGAGGAATTTAGACTGGTACATGCAGCAATCACTTATGTGCTGAAATGTTTCATGTACTGTAACTTCCAATGTATAGGTTTTAAACAGCTGCACGCGGGGGAACAGAAAGACACGCTGCGGCTAACCGGTCCCGTGCAGGTCACCTGCAATCCTCCGGGCAGCAGCGAGCCAAGCCGAGGTGTATTAAAGACACGCAGAGGGCAATGGGTGCTGATAGCTGCCACCACTACTACTTAGGCTACACTGAGTTTGTAGCCATCTATTCTTGCCTGCTAAAACACAGCCAC